GCTGGCAAGCATGCCATGTAAAAGCGCCAGAGTGTGGCCGAACGGTGGCTTTCTAGGAAGCCATAGATTCATAGGATCTCAGCTTCCACAAGGCGTGCGATGGTTGTTGGTGGACGGGCACAAGGTCGCGGACCCGCACCTCTTGGTGCCACCCTCGCCCTTGGCGGCTGAGGTTTCCCAGCCAGCGGTGGCAACCGGCCCGCCTCCTCGCCCTCGGCTGAGGTTTCCCTCCCCTGTGCAGCTTCGCTGGCCATACGTGGGTCTTCCCCGCTCCCGGAGCCAACTGGCCCCCCCCGTAACCGAGGACCTCCCACACCGGCGGAGCCCCCCCAAGGACCTTCCCTCGGCTGAGGTCGCAGCCCCTGCCCCAACCTCACTCCAGCAGCAGGCCGGTAGCCTTCAGGACCACCTGAACAGAGGGCCCCTGTCTCCAAAGCCTCATGCCCTCGCCTCTGGCTGAGGTTTCTCAGCTTCAGATGGCTCCGAGCCTCAGGCTTCAGCCCGCCTACCGCCTGGGGGAGGCAGGCTCGCCTCCCTGGCTGAGGTTTCGGGGATGCTGAAGAGCCGGGCCTCGATGGCCTCGCTTCCGTTGCCGAGCGGAGGGAGCCCAGTCCCTCCTTCCCGGACCCTGCAGCTTCGGGTGACGAAGCCACGGACTCCCCGAGCCCCTCCCCTCGCCGGCCGGCTCGAGGTCCGGCTCCAGCTGGGGCACGTGAGGAGCCGCCTCACGTCCAAATCTTCAGTGAGGACTTCCTCCGCTGTTTTGCATGTGGGGTCGCCGCCTCCAATCAACAACTGATGCAAGGCCACGCCATGACATCGAGGCACGTCCGCCTCACCACTGCTTACGTGGCCAAGTGTCGGCGTGCAATGGCAGCTGCAAAAGCTGTCGAGGCTCCCCAGCCGTAGGCTCCAGTGCCATTCCCGGCACCTCTCTCCTAAGGCACACCTCTGGCTCCTTCCTCGCCTGTCGGCTAAGGTTCGACCCTGCAGCGGTGCCTGGGAGTGCCCAGGGCACCCCTTGGTTTCCCTCCTCGCCAGTCCGGCTGAGGTTTGATCCTGAGGCAGTATGCCTGGGCCCGGTAGAACCCGCCTGTACAGTCTTTGGTAGGGCCTACCCCTCGTCTGAAAACGACTGAGGTTGGCGGGTGTAACTAGCCACCTGTAGTCTAGGACGTAGGGCCGCCCTCGCCCAAAGAGGCTGAGGTTCTTCTCACTTGCATGCGAATTCATCTTCAGACTCGTCTCGGACGGCTCGCAGCCCGGCGAAGAAGATTGAACTTGGCTCAAGGCTGTGAGTGCTCAAACCTGCAGTGCCGTCGTGGCCGCCCAGCCTCGAGTCCGTAGCTAGTGCTTTGGCTCCGAAACAGGCTCAAACCCAACCATTGCTTTTCCTGCCCCTGTGGGCTCGGCGCGTGGGAGGGGTAGTGGCAGTTTCCGACCGACGGTCAAGGGCAGTAGTTTAGCGCAATAGCACATCCTTGCCGTCCTTGCGCTGCTCCTGTTGTACACTTCACCAGGTTCTTGGTCGCTGGAAGCTTTGCTTGGACGAAGACAGTTGTCGAGGTGCCCTGACCTTGCCTTCGTGCTGCACCTTCGGCCCCTCGCCTTTGTGGCTGAGGCACTAGTCCGTTTTTCCTCCCTTCACTGAGGTGGACGGTGTCTTAAAGGTGAGGTTTCTCTTGAGCTGGTTGAACTGGTCTTCTCCTGCCCCAGACGCAGGGCCCCTTTGTGGATCTGACCGTGGAGAGCGGCAGATTTGCCTTCGCAAGCTGTGCCGGGAGCACCAGTGTTCTTAGGGCAACCACTTTTTAGTCGTAAGCGTCCCTCGAGGTGGTACAGGCTTTCCTTCGGGTTCCCTCGGGACGAGACAGTGGTTCCTCCCAGTCTCCTGCAGTACCATACTGCAAGCCCCTTCCCTCCCTCGCCTACTGGGTTGAGGTGGCGTTGTGCTGCCTCCCGCCGTTGGGGTTTAGGATAGGTTAGGGAGGACTCTTTCTTGCTTGGCGCCTCCGTGCCGCCGGGCTCCCACTCAGCTTTTCTGGCCTGTGATGCAGTGTCGTCTCTCCCCTGGCGTAACTCTCGCAGCTTTTGCGACACTTCGCCTATACTGCTGGCCTGGAGCTGTTTTGGCTTTTGTTGCTTTAGGCAAAATCTCGCTTTTGCCTGTTTTGCGGAGAAGGTCCCGCTGCAACTCAAGGGGTTCTTTTGTTATTCACTTCGTTTGGTGCCAGTCGTGCGTCGCGTGTTATGGCCTTCACATGAGCATGGGCGCCAGGGCCAGGACCCTCACTCAGCCTGCTTTTGCCCGGCGGGATTCGGGTGCGAGCTCTGTATACCCCGCCGCACAAGGTTTTATCCTTGCACGCCTGAGTTTGGTGTTGGCAGTCATACTGTTCTCCGTGGGCTGAGCAGTCCCTGGCTTTCCTCCCTGCAGCACCTTTGGCTTCCTGGCCCCGTTCTTTCTGTTACCTGCCTTGGGTTTTGGGTTGCAGGCCCTGTTCCTCCCTCCTGGGTTTCTCAGGGGCAGGTCTCTTTTCTGCCCGTCTTCTTCCATTGCGGCTGAGTGGCACAGCGTTGTTCCCTGCGCTTGAGAATTGAAGGGAAAGCGTCGTTCCCTGCGCCTCGTTGAGGGGAATGCGTGGGCCCCGCGCTTAAGTCCAAATTGAGGGGCTGCAGCTCTGTTGCTGTGGCTGCAGATGGGCAGTTGGCAGCTCGTCTCGGCTTGCTTGCGCTTGCAGATGAGCCTTCAGGTTTGGTTGTTTTCTTTAGGCCCTTTTGACCCTTCCGTTTCCTCCCTCGGGCCAAGGGAGTCGCGCACCTTCGGTCTCTTTTCGGCCAGCAATGCCCACTCAACTTGCCTGTGTACTTGGTGGACCGTGGTGTTGTGCAGCCCAGTGGCAGTGTTGCTGAGGTAGCCCCTGTCCCTCGCCCCTGGGCCCAGCCCTCCTCGCTTCTGGCTAAGGTTCACCTCGTACTTTCACTTCTCCCCGCCGTTCTCTTTCCTAAGGGCGTTTGGTTGCGCTTGGTGGGGTTTAGGATACTCTTTACGAGCCCCTGGAGGTTCCTCTCCAGCCGCTCCCTCAGGGTCCCCTCTCTTGAGGTTGGCTTCGCCCAGGCTAAGCGCAGCTGCCCTGGCTCCTCACCTGTCACTTTCTGAGGCTTTGGAGCCGGGGCACAAAGTTTTCACCCCCTCTGAGGCTACAGAAGCCAGGACCCCGTTTTTACCCTGGGACCTGCCGAAGGCATCCCAAAGGTGGCACTGAAACCCTGTACAGAGGTAGGGCCTCCGCCCCTCGCCTTACTGGCCGAGGTTGCCGTAGCCCTTCACCCAATAGGGGTCTGAGGTACTCACCCTTCTGCATGGAATTCACGTGTTGAGACCTCGTCTACGACGGCCTCCGCGCTCGGCGAAGAAGATTGAACTTGATAGCTGAAGCCTCTGGCCAGTTGCGGCATGCGAGCTCTCACCTTGACTGTGTGCCACGCACCGTGGCTCAAGCACTGCGAGCAAAAGTGTCATGCTTTGCAACAGCATTTGCCTGCCATTGTTTTCAGATTAGATTTTAGATGCGATTCTGATACGCTGTACTTTCGCATCCCCGTAGCAAGAGCCAGTGTGCTCAGATCTGTGCTTAGAGTCAGCAGGGGCGTGTGGCACACATGTCTTGCCATATGTAACGAAGCTGCGGACATGAGTGGGGAGCGGGAACCGATCACTCTCGTGTACCTGCAAAGAGTTGCTCATGGGTCATTGTGTGGCAACTTGAGAACTACTTGAGAACTCGAGCGTTTGCGATGCAATTGAGCCTTGTGTCACGGGGTGTTTTGTGTCTTATGAATGTCCTTCCCTTTGGGTGTCCGCTGAGTGAAGGGTTGCCTTCACCGACTTGAGTTTGCAGTGATTCAACCGAAGCTCTTGATTTGCTTGATTTTCGAGCGACGGCAAGAAGTTCCGAAAACGTAGGTTGATGATCTTCCTGCTTGAAACACAGGAAATGAAGGATGATTTCTGCACGTGACTACACAAATGAAGAAGGTCCCATTGAAATCTGGTTCCACTGACTTCACAAAATGAAGGTCGCTAAGTCTGGAAGTACTTTTATCTTCCGTAAACCCTCGACCATTTTGTTATAACTACTTGGAACCTTGTCATCCACCGGCAAATATTGGCTTCTATGAAAGCTCGTGAACTGTTGGAATCGCAGTGCCTGTGCCATTCACGAAAACGGTCGCAGGACGTTTTTAAATACAATCAGTCCAGTATCCTCGCTCCTCATCTGTTCCATATCCAAGAATAGTTTGTACTTGGTTGCTTCGCCAACCGTGTTTTTCGGGTTCAGTTTGTGTTTCCAGTCAATTGCCTCGATAACAACCCAACTGTTGCGTCCATCATAAGACGGGAACTTTGGTCGTAATTCACTGGAAAGCACTGAGCCTCGGATGGGATACTCCTCTGTATCTTTCCTTCTGGTTTCTGAACACGTGGAGTCCCATTACGACGATGGTAGAAAATTTTTTGTGGGGCGCTACGACCGTCATTGTACCCAGAGTCATTGTCACATTGTGCTCTGATCCAGCGCTTCGGTACGGATACATGGTTGACGTGCAGTTGAATCAGTCCACCCTTGGTTTGCCTGTTGGCATGCATCTGTTTCGACGTTGTGCGTGTAAAACCAATACCTACCCACCTATCAACTTACCTCTGTACCCCCGACCTGCCTGCCAACCTGCCTACTTGCCCTGCCTGCCTACCTGCTTGTCTGCTTGCCTACCTACTTACCGACCCAGCAACCTACCTACATACCTACCTGCCTACTTGCCTACCTGCCCACCTGCCTACCTGCCTACCTGCCTACCTGCCTACCTGCTTACCTGCCTACCTGCCTACCTGCCTACCTGCCTACCTGCCTACCTGCCTACATGCATGCGCTCACAATTTATTGGCATATGTTTGTATTTCGTATTTGTTTGGTGCGAGGGGTGTTTGTCGAAGTCAGGCAGTCCTCCGCTGCAAGCTGCTGGAGCGGCAGTCATCCCTAGGCGCCTGTCTGCGCAGTGACTTGCAGGGCAGTGGGAAGTTGCGACAGCCTCAGCGATTCTCGGCTCTCGGCGATGTAGAGTACTATCCAGCCCGGGTCGTGAATCGCAGTCCTCTTGCTGTGCGGAGTTGTGACCGCTGCAGCCTGCAGCTAAAACTGTGATGCCGGCTTTGGGGGGTGTTTCTTGGGCATCAAGATGCTTGGGTGGGAAACCCTGAGCCGCACGGGTGGCAAACCTCCCAGCCTGCAGGGGATGTTGGACGGCAAAGCCGACACCCTCAAGGGAACTGTTGCCTGGAAAATTCTTAGCCATTGTCTTGCTGCGGTGGCATGCTGATAACAGAGGATCACTCTCAACAACTTCTGTTGTTGGCTTAAGGCTGCCGAGCAGATCTGCGGCAGTGGGGTGCCTGAACCTCAAAAGGAGCCTAAACCCAGAAAGGAGATGTGGGGTGGGACCTGTGGGATGGCGGGAGGTCGGCCTCCTCTTGAGCCGAGCCTGCATTTTTGGGCACAGCAAGCCTCAGAAGTCGCACTAGACCGCTACAGACACGTCAAGGTCTAGTTATAGTTGCGGACCTTTGGCCCTCCGAAACATGACATGTTGGGGTTTGGACCTGGACTTTCAGCCGTTGGCTGTGCGGGGGCGGAGCTCAACCAATCTTTATCTTTTTCGACTATGAGAGCGTGGCTGTGTGGCTTCTACGCACGCGCCTCCCCGGGCCGCAGGGACTTCCAGCAAGGCTTGGCCTAAAGCAAGGCGATCTCAAGAGCACGTTGGAGCGTCGAGTTTTTGGTACTCCTGCAATCGGAAGCAGTTCAGCAGATGCTTGCGGGAGCCAAGCAGCACTCTCAATCAGCTGAAGAACCTTTGCGACTCCTGACCAAAGAGCTGTGGTCCCCGAGACGTGAACAGAGCTCAGAGAGGCTGCTGCGGACGTCTTCAGCCATTCTGTGGCGGTTTCTGCAAGGCAAACAGCTTCTACTTCAAGCGCTTTCGAGATGCTTGCAATGATAATTTCTTTCACCCGACCTGATCTGAGCAGCGCCAAAGTCCACAATCCACCATGAGATGAGGACAGCTGGCATCTTAGGCATTTCTGAGGCTGCACTTGGCTGAGCCCATAGCATTATCTTGGAGTGCAGGCAGTCAAAACAGGTGCCGTGCAAACCGCTGTCACCGAATCACAAGGATGAACGTTGAGGGTTGACGGCTCGGGAGTGGAAAGGGGCTCAAAAGATCTGGATGCAGTTCGAAGTGAAGACGGAGCCTGTGCAGTTCATTTGCGCGGCCTCTCATGAAAGCGCGGGAAGACGTAAGCTAGCTTTCCGGCTTAGGGCTGAGCCATGAAGAAGCGTGTTGCAAAAGGACGGTTCTTTGTCGACCGCTTCTGCTCCGAGCTCTTCGCTCGAGCGAAGCCAAAGGCCTTTTGGGCTGATGCTGCTCATGCCAGCGCGGGGCTCCCCAAGAGAGGTCCAAGGCGCCCAAGGAGCCAAAGCGTGCAGAAGGGCGATGGCTCAGGTGCTGTGCAAGTCTCTTCCGGGACACGTTGCCTGCCTGTCTGCCTGCCAGGCAGGAGGAATCTGGGATGAGAGACCGGTGGCCAAACAGATCCTGGCCTGGGTGGTGCCAGATCCTCGGGATCCAGAGCTCTCACAACACGGGCGGGGAGTCAGAGGCAGAGGCATCCAAAGGAGGCATCCCAGACAGTGCTCGGCTACGCGGCTACGAGCCAGAGACTGGACCGCATCACTGCGGTTCCCCCCCACTTTTCCTGCAACGGGGATTCGGGGAACATAGTGGGACGGCTGATGAATCCTAATTGACTTTATGAGGCTGATATGCTGGCCGATGTGTGCGGGTCTGCTCTTGTTGGCGCCCAGGTTCAGACTTCCTTGGCTTAGTGGCAGCGAGCTCGGAGCTGTTGGGTAGCTCAGCACTCAGCAGTTCCGTCTCGTTTCACAAAGGGGCTCGGCTTGGCGGACATCGCGTCGAGGAGGAGACTCCAAGACATGGATCCAAACTTCTCCCGCTTCATGCCTGCTTCCCAAGAGAGGATTTGCTCGAAGTGTTTGAGACTCTCAGTATTGGCACACAGCCCCCACCCAAGCCCTCTGCCGACTGGACTGCCGAGGTGGAGCACTCCCGGGCCCCGCATGCCGAGCGCCAGGCCACTAAGTCCGGTCGGAGCGGAGTGCCCTGAATCCGTTTTGATGCGTTCGAAACCCGGCTGGGAGGTGCTTCGCGACATCCTACGGCAGCTACGGCTACGGCGGCTACGTTCAGCGGATTCGCTGGCGGCGCTGGCGGTCAAAAAGCATGCTCTGCGCTGCTTTGCGGCTGGCGACGAGGGCCATGACCGTGACCCTTGCCGACCCATCAACAACAGGCTCTTGACCTCCGCAGGAAGGTTTGGGGGCGGGTGGGGGGGAAAGGGGGAGGGTGGGAGCGGGGGCGCTTTCAGCCATGCCGTGCCCGCCGCTTTGGGATGTCGAGCGCAGCGGCCGCGGAGGCGGAGGCGTCGTGGCATCTGCTCCTGGAGCGCTCCTTCAGATCCGCCCGGCGGATCGGCCTTGGCCGCCTCGTCGGCCCCAAAACCTGGAAGAAGGCCGAGGTTAGCAAAGAGCCCTCTGGACATCTCTAGGCTCTTCTCTTCCTCTCCGTTTTTAGGTGATCCCCGTGGTGGGCCGGCGGTACCCTGACGAGATCTTCAGCGCCCTGCGCGGAGCAGGCTGCCTGGGTCCCGTCGGTCCCAAGGCCTGCAAGCCCAGCAAGATCGCCGCCGATGCTGCGGTGGAGGATCCTTTTCCAGATCCGGCGTCACAGCTCCTGGAACTCCGATGCTGCATCCCTGTAGCAGAGCGCGGTGCCTTGGCCTCCGAGCAGGATGGGAACGGGTCTGCAGCAGAAGCACAACACGCACAGACAGCCCAAAATATCATGAGTATATCATGAGAACTTCAACCAAGTTGAGAACTGCGAGCAGGATTCCGGGAGGAGGCGACCCAACGGTTTTATCCCAGAACACCTCGAAACACGCGCGGCTCTGCCGAGCGCACGGTTCATCAACTCCGTGGCGGGCAGAGAAGACGCTTGAAATGTTTTGAATGCATCAACCCCGGTTGAATGCGCCAGACTGTGAACGCGATTACCACTTCGGGAGGCGAGACGATCTGAAGACATGTTACCACGCTTGTATGAAAGGGATTGAGATGTCTTCACCCCAAGAAGATCAGGATGGCAGCCCTTTGTGGCTCGTCTGACTCCCGAAGATGGTGCTTCCGGATTGGATGGGCTGAAGTGCGTGGACTTTCGACAGGGTGCAAGTGCAAGCACAAGAGACAGGCAGGTTGGAGTGAAGCCCTCTTTAGAGAAAAGTCCGCAAGAAGAGGTTGGAAGAGCCAACTTGCAGACGCATCTCCTACCGCTTGAACGAGGACGCCGTGGCTTCGCTCTCCATCTCCACATCTCTCCCGCCGAGCCTCTTGCAGGATGCCACGGGCATCGAGGTGCGGCTGGAGGTCAACTTGCACCGTGCCTTCGCCCGGATGCTGAACCTCAGGCCCTGGCTGCGCCGTCAGGCTGTAGTGGAGAGTACAAGTAGCAGCAGTAGCAGAGTAGCACACTTCGGCTGGAGGTTCCCAGCGGCGGGCTACGAGGCTGACTGGCGCGTTTGGAGTGGATCGCCTCCCGACCTTCAGAGCCCGAGCCCGGGGTCGGGCCAAGAATCGACCTCCAGCTTCCGCCTCCTGGACAACAAGCTGGATCGCAGGAGCAAAGCTGAGCAAAGCAGAGCAAGAGGAGAGAGAACGGAGCAGAGAACGGAGAAGAGAAGGGAGCTTTGAAGGGTGGAGATGGAGAGTGAGACTCGTATGGAGTGAGTTGCGGAGTGCTGCACGGACTACGCGCCACACGCGCGTCGCAGGCACGCGCAGCCGCCGAACTTCCGCTTGCCGCTACGACCGGAGCAGCTGCGATCGCTGCAATGGATGGTTCAGCAGGAGCGAGGCGAGTCGCTGCCGCAGGGCCGCAGGCTGCCCCCGAAAGCCTCGGTCGGCATTTCAAAGCCGGCAGAGCAGCCCTGCAGCCCTGCAGCCCTGCAGCCCTGCCCTCTCAGGAGCTTTGTGACCAACTCCTCACGATGGCTCCTCTCCTCGCGGTTCAAGTCGTTTTGCGCCTGTGAAGCCTCGGGAGTCTGGAGGAGCCCTTTGGAGGCTTCGCGCTGCAAGCCTGCAAGGTTTATCGATGTTATTGGCAGCGAGAACGTGCCGAAGAGGCAGGGGCCCTGGGCAGGAGATGTGACGTCAGCCAAAGCGAAGCCAAGCTGTGAACGCTCCGAGCTCCCGCTCCGAGGATGCTCCACGAAGCCTCGCATTGGATTGGACGTTGGACTGTCGTGTGATCGCCTCCTTCAAGGCCCAACCGGCCAACCCTTCGCCCAGGCCTTGGCTTCGCCTTTTGCCTTGGCCGAGGCACGTGGAGGCGTCTTGGCCGACGAGCGGCCTGGCAGCACAGGCCCATAGGATGCGATGCGATGCCAAGCCTTGCCGACATGCTTTGCAACGCAGACGTCGAACTCACTGAGGATAGGCTATGGAAAGACAGCTTTGGCGATAGCACTGGTAGATGTGCTGCATGATGCTTGGCAGCAGCGGTTGCAGTTCTAGGATCTGCTAGGGCCAGGGTGTTGAAGCGTGAAGATGTGTTTTCGTGGACCCAATCGGCCGAGGGAGAGCCCTTTCGGGAAGATGATGAGCCTGATTGCGACTTCTTTTTCCCCTGCACGAGCACGCTGATTTGCATGCCCTCTCATCTTCATGGTGTCTCTGAGAAAGTTGGCCAGAGCTTGTTGGTAGGTCTTGAGAGTCGTTGCAAACAAGGGCAATGGGCTGAAGAGTTCGTGAAGTTCACGGGCAACACGTACAAACTCCTGAGTCTGAGCAGAGAAGCAGACTTGAAGAAAGCGACGGTCAGGACATGACACGTGCTGGTAGCAGAAATCTGATTCTGCAGAATACAGTAGGTGAGATCCGAGAGTTTCTATATAGACTTTCTTGGGAGCGTCTTGAGGAGCGTCTTGGAGGCGGACGTCTGCTTGTGCGACTACCAACTTTTTCAGCGGAGCTTCTACGTGAAGAGGCGACAGGAGCTGGGGGGCTTGGAGGCGAACTCCGCCGAGGCGAACTCCACCGAGGAGGCGAAGCTGCGGGCCGCCTCGCGGCCTTGAAGAGCTTGCATGTGCACGCTGTGGGGCAGAGAGAGAAAGCAGAGCCCAGCAGAGGGGGACTCAAGTAGGAAGGTGCTGCTGCGGGGATCAGGCTTCTGTTCGGTTTGAGGCAGGGTGACCAAGCGGGGTTAGGCTAAGGCAGGGAACGCAGTCCAGAGGCACCCGACTTTGAACCTTGACGTACCAGGCCAGTACCGTGCTTTACTGTTGTTGTACCAGCCTCTTCGGGAGCCTCAACAAAACAAACATCGAGTGGCTTGGGGAACCCAATGGCGACTCAACCTTCAACTTGTTGTTCGTACTTGAGAAGGGAACCCAGCCACACGCCCCCTGAAGAACAGGGGCACACAGTCCTTCTTGTTTCAGTCCGAGCCCATCCATTCCAAACAGTGGATGGGGCAGCGCGCCCGCGCGCGACGGGAGGACTGCTCCCGCCCCAAGCCCCGAGCGAAGCAAAGCAAAGAGAGCCCAGCAGGTTTTGGTTCGCACACACAAAAGAGGGGTCACTCAGAGCTGAGGGGGTAGCAGAAGCCCTTTGTTTGTGACATAGCACGGCCCAGCAAAGAGAGTGAGAAACTAACGTGTTGTTCGATGTCTATAAGTCGGTGCAACACACTCCTTTGCATGGGGGTTCATAACAGCATGGGATGGCACCACCTCGGCATGACACAGGGGCGCGGAGAGCGGGGGAGGGTTGGTGTTTTAGTGTTCGGGGGACCGGGAGTGCCAGACCGTGCGGTCGTTACTGTCATAAGGACCCCAAAAGCCGGTCGCTTAAACCAGAAGCGGTCGGGCGGGCCAAGCGCCTGCGGGTCACGACGTGACCCCTAAGCCCGGCAGAAAAGAAAGAAAAGAGAGAGCAAGACGGTAGACGGCCGTCGAAGTGAGGAGTTTGGGCCCAGGGAGCCCAAGAAGGCGGAGGAGCGCTCGAACTTCGAAGCGCTGCAGCGTGCGACCTTCAACTTTCTCCAAGCACCGGAGAAGCACAGCTGGAGGCGCTTCCTCAAGCACTTCAAGCACTCCTCGTCTAAAGGGTCTTGGACAGAGCTCACTTTCCCGGTCTTGGAGCAGTTCTTCTGGAAAAGGGTCATCTTCGACGAATGTCATGAACTGCATGGAGACATCTGCCACACGTTGTGTTTTCTGCGGGCACACCATCGTTGGGGCCTCACCGGGACACCGGTTTCTCGGCAGTTCTGAGGCAATGGATAGCCTGCCTAGTTTAGTTGACGTCGAGTCGCCTTCACAAATGCTCTGAAGGCTTTACACGGCATGAAGCACATCGCAAACATGGCATCCCTACTCCGTATCGAGCTGGCCGGTCCCGGCAGATTGCGAGAGAATCCCGTGCTGGCTGAGAAACTCGGCCATACGCGATAAAATAGAGAACTATGTATGTAGAATGTAGAACTCTGTAGAGATGTCCGGAGGCAAATATGCCAAGACATCGCAAAACCATCATTCCTTTTGGCAGATTCATCCTGCTCCGCTGAGGAACTGTTGGCGTTTCTTGGATTCGTGCGTCCGGCAGAATAGCGCAGAGCTTCCGAAGCTTCGCATCATTCAGCATCTGAAGTTTGTGCGGCACACTGCGCAAGAGTGTCTCGGTGCAGAAAAGGTTTGGGGACGCGTTTCGCGCACCGCACGGCCTGGACTTGAAGAGAACTGTTTGCCACGTGAGGCGTGCGCTGTACCTGTCCGCGTGCAACAGCGACGCCGACAGCGATGGCATGGGCATCGCTCGGAAGCTCTTGCAGCTCTGCTCTCACTTTTCCCCGCAGGAACTCGCAAAAGACGCCGACGAGGCGTGTGGTCGCCTGCTGAAAGCCAAGCAGCAGGAGGCCACGGCAAATCTGTCAGTGTGTCATGTCTGGTGTTGTACCGTAGACTTGTGAGCTCTGCCCGCGGAAGGTTGCGGTGGCCAAAGAGGAGGTGCGGCAAGCAGTCCTTTGGTCAGAAGGGCTTCGCCGCCTTTGCAACAGCTTGCCGCCACAGCCTGCGACGCAAGCGCCGAAGGCACATGCCGCGGCGTGGGGCTCAGCTGGCAGTCTCTGAGGGGAGGGCCGGAGGGCCGGGCCTGTCGAGTGCTCCTTCGGCGCCGTTCTCAGGAGATGGAGACCTGCTTGAGGACTTTCCTAGAAGAGCTGCGGGAAGAGGCGAGTCGCCTCAGCCCGGGCCCTGCTCGGCCTGGCGGCTGTCGCAGTGCGCGCAGCATGTGTGCTTGGAGTAGAGACGCGTAGGCAGGGCCCACTCCGCTTTCTGAGGTCCAGCGGAGCATCTGAGGCTCCTGAAGGGATCCACTTCGTGGCAGCGCAGGCTGCGGCAAGAGCTCAGAGCGAAAGCGGAGCCGAGAGAAAGGAAGGAGCCAAAGGAGCCCGTCAAGGAACTTGTCGAAGAGGGCCTTGACTTCGAAGGCCGTGCCATAGGAAATCTCGCAGACAAAACGCAGCGCCTTCGCTTCCTTGAGCGCACCCTGGCTCTTGTGGGAAGCCCAAACAACCCGGAGACTTCCAATCTGCGCTCCTGCAGCATCTGCTACGAGGACAACCTCGACGCTTTGTGGCAGAGGGCAGCTGCTTTGCTGTTCTGCGTGCTCATCACCCTGAAGCTTCAACTGAGGAACTTGAGCAGCTGGGCATCACACCATGTGCAGCTCGATTCAAGCGGCTTGTGACTGCATCCCTCCAAGGTGCTCGCTGTGTTGAACTGAGGCCCACGTCTTCTGTCTGCGCTGCCTTCACGAGCAAGTGGTCAAGAACCAGCAGTGTGGCCTGTGCCGGCAGCCCCTCAAGAAGGCAGGCAGACTGACAGACTGGCCAGGAAGAAGCCGCAGCCGAGTCCGCTCGAGCGAAGGTGGATATCCAGCCTTTGATGCTGGAAGTGAGCCAGGAAGGAGCAGAAAGAAGCGAAGGCAGCCGCAGCCGCCAGCCTCTCAGCATCCGCAAAGGGCGCAGGACCTGGACAGTCTCGCCATGCCCTGACAGAAAAACAGGAAGAGCTTCTAGAGTTAGAGCCGTCGCCCGCACATGCGCGTCTTCGGCCGTCTCGGGTCTGAAGCAGCTTTTTGATTCTTGAAACCAAGACTAAGGAAGCTTGCCAAGCCGCTTCGGGCAATTCGGCAGCAAGTTGGGAGCCATCGTCCTGCAGCTGCAGGAGATCAAGGAAGAGGCCCGGCCGGGCCGCCGCGCCGCCGGCACGAGTGCAGCACTCCCCACGCTGTTTTGGGAAGGATCCCTTGGCCAAGTGCATCGTCTTCTGCCAGTGGGAGAGCTTGCTGCATTTGATCGCCGGTGCATTCGGGACCTTCGGCATCCGCTTTGCCCGACTCGACGGCTCAGTGTACGCACGCACGCGGACGCTCAGCAACTTCAAGGGAACTTCGTCGTCTTCAGTGGACGTGCTGCTCTTGTCCCTGGAGCAGAGTGCCAGCGGAACAAATCTCACCTGTGCCTTGGCTGAGAGGCCATGGGGCCATGGGCCATGGGCGAAGTCGCTGTCTCCTGCAGGTGCCAATCACATCATCTTCGTGCACCCCATGAGCGCGCAGACGCAAGAGGAGTCCATCGCCTTCGAGCTCCAGGACGGCCGTAGAGCGGCCACTACTCGTAGAGCCTACGGCTTTTGGCTTGGCGCAGGCGATCGGCCGCGTCCGGCGCTGGGGCCAAGCTCGCAAGGAGGCAGAGCAGTCGCCGAGCCGAGAGCTGGCACATCCGCTAAGTATCGCTCGCTATCGCTGCGTCAGATCCACCTCTGGCGCTTCTGCACCGTGGGCACCCTGGAGGACATCCACTGTGCCGTCTGCATTGCCTGTGTCTGTGCTGTGCTCTCAGCTGCAGGAGGAGATCACACGAAAGCATCAGAAGGCCAAGCGTGCACTGCGGAGTTTGGCTCTGGCTCTCGTCTCCTCGTTTCGGCCAGGAGATCTACGAAAGCTGTCACGAGTGCGAGTCTAACCATCCCGTCCTCGGCGTGAAAAGGAAGCGAGATGAGCCGGAAGAGATCCCTTCGGGCCGAAGGACGGGACACGGACACTCTGGCGAGGAGCTGCCCGGAGGAGGGCCCACACAGAGCACGCGGAGCACGCGGAGCACGCAGCAGCACGGCCCGCGGCACTTCGGCAAGCCCTTGGCCCCTCGCTCAGTGGCTCCGTGCCTTCTCTCTCTGTCTCTGTCTCTCTCCCTCTCCCGGCGACGTGGGCCGAGGTGCCTCAGTCGCTCCCGCTGGACCTCGCAGACTCCGACTAGCGGAAAACGTACTGCACTGCGCTGCTTGCGTCCCTTCTCAGTCCTGACACAGGGCACGGGAGGTTGCAACGTTGCCGCAAGGGCCCAAGGTGTAGAGGACGGGGCCTTCTGCCTTTCGGCTCCCAAGGAGCCGGACTGCGCAGAGGCTCGGGCCGAGGGCTGTTGAGAAGTCGTGGAGGAGGAGAACGACGGGAAGCGACGACGACGGTTAAGGGCCCTATTTTATCGATTGGAGGCAGTGGAAGGGTGGAAGAGAGGTGGGCGAAGTGAAGGGGGGCAGGCCGGGGCAGGGGTGAAACCCAAAATCCTGACGCCCTCAAACGTTATGATAGGTACTTACAGGCGTGGCGTGGTGGCATGCTCACACGATCTCACACGTATACATTCCGTTGCCTCTCTCTGCATAACAGCATGCATATCTGGTGCGCAAAAAACAGGAGGGCCAGGGTGGGGAGGGCCCAAAAAGCAGGTAGGGGGGGGGGGGGCGGAGAAATGAACACAAAGGTTCGGACTGCAGAGGGGGACGATTAGGTAGAGGGTACTCTACTTAAAAACCCAAGACTCCTGGGCCTGTGGCCTCGGCGGATTGGGTCGCATTGAGGGAGTGGGCAGTGTTGGCTGCCAGGTTGTCGTGTAGTTTCTGGCTTGAGAAAGGGGGAGTCGGCTCCTGGGGGTAATCGAGGGGACTTCAAGACAGTCTAAAGGAACTTCGATAACTCATAGAAGCTCGTGCTTGCAGGCCTGGGGTTTCAGAGATGGGTGTGCTTCGGCGATGACAGCGACGCCACCGCCGCGTCCCTTGAGGACGCAAGAAGGCTGGGCTCCGCCGGCGCATGCGAAGACCCAGTTTGTCCTCTCGGAACCTCGGAGCTGAAGATCCCAGGAAGCACGGAGCGCTCTGAGGGCACCTGGAGGGAAGCAAGGGCTGTAGCGAGCTGTAGCGCAGAAATCAGCTTCTCCACCCGGTCCGGAGCGGCTAAGAATCTTTCTCGAACTCTTCGTACCAGCTCCCTCTTCAAGTCTTCGTCGGCAGGGGATGACCGCTTCAAGCTTGCTTCGGAGGCCGACTGCCCGTTGGAGAGAGCGCGGAGTCAATCCGCCGTCCGCCGTCAGGTGCGTTTCGGCAAAGCCGCGGACTTTTCAAGAGGCCGAAATGACAGCCAAGAAGTCCCCCCACGCCCCGCTCTGCCTCTCGCGCTTTCTGCACGAGGCCTCTTCAAGCAGGTGTCCACCGCTGGCTTACTTCAAGCTATGAGCAATCTCCTGGTGCTGAACGTGTCTCGCACGCTCCGCAACTCAGAGCTTCCGCGTTTGAGCTTCAATCTACCTGCTGCTGTACAGATGTTCATGGCTGAGACCGCTCCGTTCTGCTGAGCTCGAGACGATCTGCACGGCCGGCTGCAGGGCACTGCAGGGACAGTGGTGAATCTTTGGTAATGTCGTGTCGTCGTGTCCTCCGTCCCCTTTCATTGCGAGGCGGCACCAGGACTCATCCGTATCGATGCAAGTCGCTGCAGCCAGAGCCCTACTGCCCTTCTGCGAAGAGCTCCCACGAGTGCAATTCCTGCGCTCAAGGCTTGGATGAGCTGCCGCACAGATCGGTCTTCGAGTCTCTGCACAACGTCAAGGCAAGGGGCGATGCCTCCTCGCTTTTGCGAAGCGAGAGAGGGCGCAAGCAGGGCCCTCCCCGTGAGAGGTCGCACTCTTCCACCAGAACATGATCCGCAGGCACGGAGAGCAACTCGTCTCTGGCCCAAAGCCGCCTTGCACTCTTTGCACTCTAAACGGCCCTTTCTTGCGCGGCGGGGGTGCTACCCGCCCCCACCGGCCAAAGAAGGAGAGAGCACAGAGACGGAGCCGGCCGGAGCTGCAGTAGCTCTCAATTGGGAGGCTTGGCTTGGAGTTTGGGGCTTTGGGGCGAAAGACACAAAGGCCAAAGGCGGTAAAAAGCGGCCAACAGTGCTTGCGCTTCTCGACTGCACACTGCGAGGCTAGCTAGCGCCGACACACCGATTCCGCCGGTACAACCGAGACACCGATGTCCTTCCAAGGAGCTCGATCGCCCGTCCATCCTCGGAGTTCTTGGCTTCGGAAGCTTTCGAAAATCAGGGGAGCCCCATGGCCCATGGGTCCCCGAAACCCACCAGTCCAAGCCCAATGATCTATCCCTCAATGATGCCATGTCTTCATCGGCATCAGCATCACCATCACCTGCCCTGTTGCCGATGTTGGCATCTTTATTCTTGTCATGACTGTTGGTTTTTCCGGCACGATCTTGTTTAGATTACGAGGTTGTGGACTCAAGGTCTTCATGATCCGGTCGACTTAAGACGACATGTTTAATTCGTGGCATGAAACAAAGCAAGAAGCAGTGTAAATCGGCGTCAGCGGCATATGGGGTTAATTCAGCGCATCTGCGTATCTCGGCCCAAGCGGCACATCCTTTCAACATCGGCATAGATCGGCGTGTTTCGTCTTAAGCGGAATGTTGGCGAAAATCGGAGAAAGCCACGTCTCGGCGTTCATCGGCGCATACCGGCATGTCGGCGTAGCAGGCGGCCTGTAGGCGGCGCATCGGCGCAAGTCCTCCCGATGCCACGCTTTACCCACTTTCGATTCCTCACAAACTTTCTCGTAAGGCTAGCTGCTTGCCTGTTTCTACACGGTCGCTGCTCACTCCCCGCCCAGACAATCTTCGCTTGTCTATCTTGTCTTCCAGAAGGAGAGGCAGATAATGCAACAACAGGTGTCTTTCATGGTCATCACTCGTGGGACTGCACGTCATCACAGTAAAAACCATGACACGTGCACTTTTCCAAAGACGCCTGGTTTTAGGAGTTGTTGAGGCTTGCTTTGTGGTGCGAGTACGGTTGGGTTTGGCTTAAGTTCCGGCGGATCCGCCGCATCCAAGCTGAGGGCGCCCCACTGGGTCTCGTGACAAGACAAAGAATGAAAGAAGCGAGCGAGCCAGATGGATCGAGTGAAGCGCCAGCCGTGCCCACGTATTGCACTTGCAGGTGGCAGGACGTGCTGAGTCTGTGTGGATGCCCTGTGGCGGTCCTGGGGACTTGCTTATGTGTCTGTGAGTCGGCACAGAAAACTTCAGAAAACCCGGACGAACTGAGGCCTTGATCTGGCTGACCATCTTCCAAAATCCTGTGGCAGGTGTTTGCTCTGCTGTCTTTCTCCGATCGGTTCACGTCTGACTAGCAATTTGTGGGGTGTCAGTTTGTCATTTGTTGAGTGTTGACAGCAACTTTCTTGCGCTTTCGCAGACTCGGCCCGGTATTCAAGAAGCATGTGCAGACTTCGTGAACGTGCCACCTGCGGCCTTTGGCTCACCAGTCGTACGCGCTTGGCTTTCGTTGTGAAATGGGTGCCCGTGATTGCTGTGTTCTGCCAACTCGTTGAAGATTGTGTAAGTTGTTAGCGGAGCTTGAGCTGCCTCGATCCAGGGCTGCCGTAGAAACCGGGCTGGACGCCACCTTGGTGATAGCCCCCGATCGCAGGACTTCCATTCACCTCCTGGACTTGAAGTGATGTTCCGGACCCGAACCTTCCGCTTCTCTCCGTGTCGCGGCGGTGCTGTTTTCGAGCTGCCTCGACCCACGCACGTGGCAAACCCATAGTGCGTGGCCCCTCTCCGCGAAGTTACCGCTGCCACATTGTAAGTACATTGTACAGTAAGCATCTAAGCGGGAAGACGTTTGGTTCCTGGCACAAGAAGCCCCTCGACAGGTTATCCGAGGACTCGAGTTTGATCACCCGTGATGGGAGCGTAAATTTCGCGTGTGGCTGCTCCAGGTGGCTCCCTCCTGGACAGGGACGCCACGTGGCTTCCTGAGTCCGAGGGGTGAGGCCGAGGACGAGTTGGAGACGGAGACGGCAGACCAGCCCACATCAACCATACGGACGGATCTTGGAGACGTTGCGCGCCGTCCTCAAGACGCGGGCCATATACTAGAAGCGGAAGTACACGGGACTTCGAGCACATCATATGCTTCGGCAACGAGACCATCCGCGGCTCCTGCATTGTTGCGGAAAACTGTGAGATTCTGCTGCTGACACTGTCCATGACTGAGCGCAAGTTGCAGGCTGTGTTTGACTCTTGGCATCGCGGTTCCGTGCTGAGCAGAGTTTTGGATCAAGATGATCTCGACCTCGATCTGGTGAGTCAATCCCTCGAGCCCCACGCCACAGAGCTGCCACAAAGAAGCGAGCTGGCCGACCCCCGCAATAATGGTTCATATCAGCGGTGACGTAGCTTGCCACTTCCTCCTCGCAGACATGACCTCGTCGTGGCGAGTTGGCGCGGGCTTCGAGCCGCTTGGACAAGATCCAGCGAAAAAGTGGAGCGTGGACAACAGAGCCTTAGCTTCGGTCCAGGCCAAAATTGACAGCGAGGAGGAAGACTTCGATTGGAGAGCGGGGAACGAAAACATGGGTAATTTGCGGCATTCGCAGAAGATCTACGAGGCGAAGCTGCGGGCTTCTGAGAAGTTCAAAACCAAGGCCGACCAGAAAAAGAACGAGTGGGGGTTCGCGTGGAGCACTGTCTGACCCCTGACGGCCGAGCGACAGAAGCTCGCGACCACCAGTGCAAGCATTACACATCATTACACTGCCTTCCCAGCAGTCTCGTCAAGACCCACTTAGCGACGTCATAGAAGCCATCGACGCCCAGCAAGCCGACGGTTCCGCAGCAGTTTGAACGCCGGCGACCCCGTCTTCCAGGATTCCGCATGGTTTGTGCATTGGTTCAGCTCGCCCTGTTGCTGTACGGGGGGCCCAGGAAAAACCTGAGGCCGAGACAGGATCGGGGAAAGGAAACAGCAATAAGGGCAAGATGAGGAAAAGTTTGACCGTCAGCCGAGCACTTTCTTCCCGGACGATTCGCCAGCCGACAGTCCTTGAGAGGGAGATGGGGATGCCTTCGACGACGGCTTCATCTACCAGTCTCCGAGTCAGGCTTCCCGTCTTGCTCCCAAGTTTTGCTCCCATCTTGAGCTCCACTTGCCGAACCTTGCGCTTCGGCCCAGGAGCCCGTCTTGAGGCTTAATCGGAAGCGCCTGACGTGGTCTTCGGTCTTTCGCATTTACGGAATGAAACTTATAAGGACTTAGGCTTTTGGACACACTGCATGGTGACCATGGTCCGCATTGCTTTTAGTTCGGAACTTCACATGCGGCATCAAAGTCGCGAGAGGCCGGCTTCAACGGGGCTTCTAATACAACTCCCGGATATTGAGAGGGTATTTAATTTAAAGTGAATTTGCTGCCGGCTTCAACAGGACTTGAAATACGATTTCCCAATGCTGCCACGGTGTTGGATGCCGACTGGACTTGTTTCCAAACGGACATGTATCCGTGAGCGGCCTGCCCCACGCCCGTGGCTTCTCTGCGCAGTATCAAGCGGGAAACAAAGCTATTAGTATGGCGGATATGGGGCCGTAGTAGCCATCCGAATTCCTTTCTTCTTCGAGATTA